GGGGTCAATCAATCGTCATTTTGTAGAGCGTTTTTTACTGCATCTTTTCTTCATAGAGACAAATTTACAACCACTTGTTTCACTATAGAAAAATTTATTATTCAAATCGAGTCAGGACTTCTGGCCCGCCGATTATTAGACTGGCGAAAATGAGACCTATTTAGATAAGGAAACAGAGAGCTGAATTTGCTATCTGATTCTCATACTGACTTTTCCTTTTCAGATAGAGATTATAACATAACAAAGCTCAACGAACACATTCAAATTTGATTGCACTATGTCCTTGAAGAAAAGTCCGAGTAAAACATAGTGGAATCAATCGTAGATAACAAAACGGTGACTGGAAAAATGTGAAACTAGTGCGTACCGGTGCAACATAGCATGCCGTGCCCACTGGTAGCGCCAGCCGTTTATCAGTACTGTACTGCAATTTTTTTGTAGGAGACTCGATCATGTTTTCCATAAAAATCTGACAATTCCTTCCTTTACCGAGTTTTTGAATTAAGTGACTAGGTCAAATCCTTATCGGACGTAGCGTCTTCTCGTACTCATGGACGATAAAGTCCTTCGAGTACAAAAGAAGGCCGCCTGATACACGGTCACGACGGGCAGCATGACTGTGTTGTAACGCCGCGTTTGTTTTGATTAAAAAGTCAAAAGGAGCTTGTTCACACTGAAGTTCTCGTGAGAAAATAAAATTATATAAATATTACTTGATAACCCCAGAATTTCTCGCGTTTCTACTTAACGGTTTGCCGTGTTTAGATAAAACTGCGTGCTCTGTCTTTGTTTCTCTATTTAACAGTTTCTCGTATTTTATCGTAGTATATATAGTTATTTATATAGATATTTTCATTTGGTTTCTCTGCATCTCTTTATTGTTGGGTTATACTAAATTATATTTATTGTTTGAGAAAATAAAACGGATTCTAATAATTTATCATTTATTTACTAAGTGTATAATCATTAACTGCTAGATAGGTGTATTTTAGTACAGAAAAGTCTACCGAAAATTTTAAATACTTTCGGTTCATCACAGATAAGCAAAGTTGCTTGGGTGCAAGGTTAATGATTTTTTGTGTTCTTCAAGAATTGGTTCGAGATGATGTGGAAACATCTGAATGGGTTATTCCAAATACTGCCAATGACCGCTATTGTAATCAGTTAGTCGCATTGCAATGACACATTGCATTTTGTGATTCCATCAATACGTTTTAATTTCAATGTGTTTATTATCAAAGCTGCACATGTGTCTCTGTCACATTTCTGTGCAATATACGTAATTATAGATGATTTGAATTGCTACTCACTATATTTTAACCCAAAGTTTTGAATGGACGTGTATATTGTTTATCTGAGAAAATCAGTATAAAGAATTATGTATAGATAACAATTAGGTAACAAAAAGGTCGTTTAGAATCGAAAATTTTTCTTTAAATGTAGTTTAAGGGAACGCCAACGATTACATGCAGCAAGACTAACAGAGACAAATTGTCAAAAATTAGATTTTCTAGTAACTATTGTCGATAGAGCATACGAAATTACCGATAAACCTAAATGTTTAGAATCTAAAATTCAAAAATGATTAAGGCATGAATTTTTCACGGAAAAGCCCTAAAATAATTTTCGAAAAGACTGGTTCTTTATAATCCAAATTCTTTCCTTTTCTGTGCTCTAACAATCTGAAACACATATCAATTGAAAGAGTGAAAAGAACTCCACAAGATCAGCTATTTCTTTAGATTTTAAGGTATGTGGTACAACATATATAACTAAATTGTAGAACAAAATAATGTCTTTTAAGCTTATAAATACACTTTTCACTCATTTACTCACGCAAGTAAAACCTACGTGCTTTTGAACATTATGTGAAAATTTGAGAAAAAAGAGAGTTTGTATAATATTGAGAGGATTAATCAGTGAAATTCTCGTGAAGAATGAAAATTGGATACTCTCAAATTCTTCTCAAACAACTAGAATTCTCGTATAAGAGACTAGAAGTCTCCAAATTCTCGTAGGAAAGTGATATTCTCGTGAAGAATCAATATTGGATATTCTCAGTTCTACTTCCACGAGTAGAATTCTCTTGTAAGATACTAAGATTCACGTGGATTTCAGAAAATTTCGGAATTGGTGGAACTAGGACATCCATCGTAGCAATCGGCAATAAAGTGCACGTGCAGTCTGTATTTTTGAAATGTAAATTAACTTTACATTTTAGTTTTGTCGGTAGAAAAAATTTCAAACGAATAGAGAGTTACAAGAAGCTCTTAGAAGAAGTCAAAGAAGGATGTCAGCATCGGCCACTCAAAATTATCAGATACCTTCTTTAACATCTACAGAACAACATACACAACTACTGAATCTTCAGCATAGTCGTCTTACTACTGCTACTGAACCGTCAACTGAATTCTGAAAACAGATATAATCAAGACGATTTTGAAGTTCTTAATATTCGAGAAAGTGAGACAGATGACATAAACAATCTTTCGTCTGACAATGATTTTAATGATAGTGAAGACGAAACAGAAATTAAAATGCACGATCTAATCACTCACGTGCCAGACGCAGAAATGGACGAAGCCGTTCCCGTTCCTGAAACACTTCCACTTCAACAACACACAAGTATGTCCACAAATGAATCTTGTGAAAGCCTGCTCAAGATTTTACGTGATAGTAATGTAAACAACACTCATTCGAATCGTCTAATCTCATTAATAGAAAACGTCCTTCCAACTCCTAATGAAATGCCAAAGCAATATGTCGTCTCTCCTGTCGAAACTCGACGGTTGAAGATCTAATTATCAGAAAAAGCATTTGTTTATCATGTGATAATTTTCTATCATTCAAAGATAGCTATTGTAAACAATGTAAGACGACTGATCGTAAAACGATTGCATATATTTATGATGCTGATGTAAAATGCATTCTGGAAAAATTAGTAGCTAGGCTGGAGCCGGAAATAATTCGATACAAAAAATAATCAGCCCAGCAACAGAATCATGATATTATACGTAATAATAATTATAAACCCTTACGGCAACAAAATCCGGATTCGAATTTGGTTAGTATTTTACTTCATACCGATGGTATCGGAATAACGTCTAGTAACACATTGAAACTATGGTTATTAAGTAGATCAATCGTAGAACTTCCATTAAGGCTCAGAAATCAAAGACATAATATGATCTGCTGTTCCTTATGGGTTGAGTTTACAGAACCGAAACCAGATATCTGCTTAAATCGGCGATTTATAATTTACAATTTTTGAAGAGAACAAGTAAGAAGTATATTTTAAATTAAAAATATACTTGGGAAACGAAGAAATTTAAATTGAAGACAAAGAAGCAAAACATTGAGCTTTCCCTCTCTGATTTTGCAAGGAAATTACTATTGCTATTGATAGCTGTTCTTACCCTAAGAACAAATTCAGACAGTACGTAATCTCGCGTTACTATTGAGGACGAGATGCACAGTGAAGACATGTGTTTCTTTTTGTCTCACTCTCTTAGGTATTGAAGTTGGTAGTTCAGAAAACGATATTCGATTTTACGGCATAACAGGAGACTGTCTTGCTATGAAAATGTCATTGAATTTCATTTCACACGTTGGTTACTTTTGTTGCTGGTTTAGCTTGATTCATGGAGAACATATTAATGGGAAGGGACAGTACCATTATCAGAGTCTCGATTAACCGATGTTTGAGCGCCCGACATTTGAGCGCCGACATTTGAGCGCCGACACTTGAGCGCCCCGACATTTGAGCGACTGACATCTGAGCGACCGACATTTGAGCGACCGACACTTGAGCGACCGACAGT